GTTTTAGCAAATGGTAAACGAATTTCCGTTTGAAACATTCCGTCCGGAAATACAGGACTTCCTTTTCAGATGTTCCGTTGCTCCCGGAAATTTTCCACTAGAACGACAAGAAAAACCGTGTTCTATTTTCCTTTCGGCCAGATTTTCCAGGGACGTTTTGACAATGGTATAACGACAAAGAGAACGTTTCATGCCATTTATTCGCCCTTTCCTTAATTACTAAACTCGAATGTCTTATCACGGTACACTAGTCTTTTCTTTTTTTCTGTAAGAATATATTTTATACGAATAGCGAGGCTGAAAATTGCGAAATCGAACATGGTAAGAATAAACCACAGGCTTGAAAAGGATCGATATAATTTTTTTGTGTTGAAAATCTGCTAATAAATACACTAAAATTATGTGTTTTTAACTTAACTGTGAAATAAGTATTTCTTTCTCGGCAAAACTAGCCACGAAAACGTGCCCAGAGGCATGCAAACTTTCTTTGTCAAGACTTCCGGTTATCGTGCAAACTTCTCAACTTTACCGTCGATTCTCTTCTTGACTGCTATTGCATATTGCATTCAGTTGCTGCGATCGACGTAAATAAGACACGGATTTCCGGTGTGTTTCCAGTTCGAGAGGGCAGAAAGTAATTAAACACGTTCTAAAATAAGGTCGGACATTCTAAAATGTTGATTTTGGAAAAATATGCAATTATTTGCTCATTTTGTTCCAATTTTTATGAGCAAAATTGGAAAGATTTGACTATTTGACAAATGTTTGCGTGCTTAGAAAAGATGCACCCCAAAAAGCTGATTTTTTCCTAAAAAAGTAACAAATTGTTGCATCAAGAATTCAGTCTATTTTCTAAATTTCTTCCATAAATACGTCTCTTGAGAGTCTCCAGCTAAATGCAGCAAAGAAGCAGTTAAACCTTGACAAAAAGACAATTTTCTCATCTGGTAAATTTGAGTCAGTTTCTTGGAATACTTTCCATGACTGACTGTAGTTCTTAAGGCAAAACATTTCAAAAATTATTTGTTTCTTGCCTATAGGTATTTATTACTGTGGTCTCAGAAGTCTGGAGAACATTAACAAAAACGCAACTCAGAAAATACAGTTTGTATGAGCCACAGAAATTTCTTTGACAACGACTCATCGGCAGAAATTTCTCAGACAAGGATCCACAGAAATTTCTGGAACAACGGTCCAGAGAAATTTCTGGGACAACGATCCACAAAAATTTCTGGGACGATTAGAACGTATAAATTTCTGAGGCCCTTTAATGCGTAGTAGATTATATTTTCAATTTGCTCTGCGCTTTCAATTCCCCTCCGCCAATGAAAAAAAAAATCCTTTTTAAGACAATTTACAGCTCGTTCTTCGTGATATGTGATAGAAAACAAAGCTAGACAGGAGGCCTCCTTCATTTTCGTACTGGATAGCACGGTCTTTTTTTGCTTTATCGATCCGGCAGAGTCTGCTTATCTCCGAATACCCCCTAAAAACTCTTAATGCCTCTAGCCGAGTATTATCATCTAAAGCATGCAGGTATTTTAAAACAAACAAAAAAACAGGTACCAATGGCAATAATGGTATTAGGTCTCAAAATTAAAACCAGCAGATGCAAACAAAAAGCTCTCGTTCGAAACAAATAACCCACCGGTGGCCCTTAAACTGGGTATATTTATTTATTCTTTGAAAAAGACAGCATGTTAAAACTGAATTATTAAAAGATAAAGCTCTTCGTGGCCGTAAAAATTAACGCTGCTAATTCGAAAAAAAGAAAGTTTGTCTTTGACATGAGAACCATAGTATGACCGAAGGCAATTTATTGAACAACATTGCTTTGTTTTGCTACATTTGCTCGCAGTCTGCTTTCTCCAGATAGCTCCAGTAGATCTCCAATGCTCATCTATAGGTCACTGGTATAAAGCGGATTTTGAATGAAAACAGTTGACCACGTTGTCGATAACATGACATTATGTTTGAGATTATGTCTCAAAATTAAAAGCCGATGGACGCAAGCTAAAAGACAGAATTCTCTTTTGAAACCAGCATCATGCCTTAGAATTTAAATTATTTGAAACCAGGAAAATGTGGGAGGAAGAGGTGGGACAGTCTTAACAGGTACACATATGTATATATGGGGCTTTTAGTCTGATGAAAAGGTTCGTTTTTTTCGTTTGGTATAGAGTTTCATTTATATGGAATGGAAGACTGGAATTTCTGGTTCTCTCGGCTGGGGAAGGGATTTTTGGTGGCTATTCTAGCTAAGGGCAGCACCACTGACTGGACAACATATCACAAAGGTCAGTTTTGGAAATTTTTAAAGTTTAGCTAATGCTGCAATTCCTATCCTATTATGGGAGTTAATGATTAATGATTAATGATTAACAAAAAAGTCGTGAAACAAAATTTTAGGATTGTTGGGAGAAGACAAGAAAGTACCTCGCAGAGGAATTAACCTTACACAGGGACCTTTTCTAGGGGATATCATAATAGACAAGGTATGAATATTGCTTGCTGAAATGAACAGAAATGAAATGGTGGAAACAAATAAAAGTTAAGCTATGGATAAAACCCTGAGCAATGATAAACATTGATTTTTTAGTGTGTGTCATTTGACTCCGTGATAAGTGTGAAACAGGTGCCTCAGGAGAGAATATAAGAAAATTATATTAAATTTAAATTTAAGACTGACTATGAAAAAGCGTGAAAAATCATTCGATGACTATTCGCTATTTTCCCTCAAAATCTGGTATCAATATGGAAGCGGGAAATGATAAAAAAGCTTTTAAAATAAAAAAAAATGTGTCATTTTAGCGTCGAGTTAAGGACTAATTTCGCAATCATTCCAAACTTCTTATGATTAATTGATTAATTCAAGTAGGGTATTGTCGCATATTGAGAAATTTTAATGAGCCTATTTCTTTACACGACTAGTTTGATGACAACAGACTGCAACTTGAAAGCTAAACTAAGTTGACACCATGTCCTCTACTATGAGGACGGAAATTTTCATCGAGATACTAACACTTGGACTTGGCTTATTTGTGCATTTTGGTAAGTCCCACATGTTTAGTGCTTCATTTGTAGAATTGAAAGCTGAAACGGAACAAATCACTTTTTTTTTTGTGAAAGAAGGGAAAAAAATGACTTTATTTTGCACAACGCACTTTTAGCTAAGGGCATGCAAGGCATGGCATGGGAAAAAAAAACGATTATATAGTTATATTTATTTATTTTTTTTATTCGAAATTCGAAATAAAAGTTATTTTAGAATACGAACCATCAAATTTAAGAAGTGAATGAACGTGTAATAACTTAGAACTGGTTTGAGATGACTCTTTTTTTTTTTTTAATTGAGGAATGATGAGAGCTTAAGTTCGGCATTTCACTTGCTTTCTCCTCAAAATAGTGCGTCCGCTTAATAAGCATGAGGCCAAGTCACTTTGGAGCCTTTTCTGTTTACGTGGCGGTTAATAAAATACTAAAACCTAGACAGACAGTTTTAATCTTCCGTATATGTAGGAGGCGAGAAACAAATGAATTGAATTTATGAAAAGGCAAACAACTTCTTCAACAGTGTGAAACACATGCTGCTTAAGACATTTTAGATGCATCAGCTGCAACTTAGACTGACAAAACTTGCTCCCTGTGGCGTAGCTACAGCTATATTTGAATTGTAGGCCATGTAATAGGAACGTGCGTACCTGTAAAAGGTTTGGGGGAAAAACTGACGAACTAGACAAAGGAAAGGGGTTTAAAAGAAGGGGAATACCCGGACATGTACGTTGTCAATTTAGTACTGACCAAGAGCATGAGATCAATACAGTCTGATGTCAATAAGAATTTAGTTTTAGTTTGACAATTAAAAATTGAAAGCTGCTGTCTTAAAACAAAATGTTGACTACCCATAATTGATTTGTCTAGTACCTTTAGCTGATAAGGAACATTCCTTATTGTTCTGTTAGTTACTTCTTGTACTCTTTTTTCCATTTCGTACCAATTTTTAAGGCCAGACCAAGGTTATAGCTCTATTGTTGTGTTATTAAAAAAAAAAAAAAAAAAAAACGACCCAAGTAAGGAATAATATGTTCGGGAAAGCTGCTCCTTTCGTAAACCACACCTAGGAAAGTTATTTGGAACAACTAAGCTGGTCATTAAAACAGCCGCGACAAAAACAGAAATTCAAAGACCAAGAGTCCCGATTTGAGTGAGCTGAAAAATATACGCGTAAAAATGACTTATGTATAAGTTTTGAATAGCCCAGTTAAGTTCAAAACTGGTAGTAAATTCGTAACATAATTTTTTAGCGGATCGATACTTCGTTTTAAGCTTTAAATTTTAAATTGTTTCATTTAATAAATTATAATGATAAATTACAAAAAAAGCACAATGTTGCACCATTAAACTATTTTAAAAAGCCTTTGCCCAATTCTATATATTTTTCTCTACAGTTCTTGCCACAGAATACAACCGCGTTTTAATATTCAAGGGGCCAATAGAGGGTAAAATGCTTCCGGGTCACGTGATAAGGACAGAGAAGGTGGCAAATGAAGGGGGCTGCCGTGTGAGGTGTTTCTTGGAGCCCAACTGTGTGTCCATTAATGTGGGTCCTGCAGACGACCAGGGACAGCGCACCTGTGAGTTAAAAAAATTTACAGATGAAAGTCCATCACAGACTAGCTTGCAGCAAAAGACAGGCCACATTCACTATTCAGCTGAGGTAACAGATATTTTTGCTGATTATCATTTATGCTTATCATTCTTAAATGTTATTCGTGAAAAGGGAATTTGTTTATGCTGGATACAACTAAGACTAATGGTAATCAATGGAATAAAAACATTTTTGGTTGACAACAATTTCACTTAATCTAACTAGTAAAACAATAATTAATGGGAGAGAGAGCTTTTAAACGCTAAACGTGGGGCAATTGCAAACTCTCTGTGAGCTAATAACTATTTGTTAACTAACTAATAATTTTATATAGAGTATCTGCTAAAATAAAATGCTTTCCAACAGAACATTTGTAACAGTAACCCATGCCCTGGAGGGAACTTCATCTGTCAGGTGGGCTTCACAGCTAAACGCTACCGATGTGTTTGCCGTGATGGTTTTAAAGGAGAAAACTGCGACGAAGGTATGACTGATCAGGTTGACTTTGTTGTTTTGTATGTCAGCAGCTTGTGTTAGCACATTGTTTAACTCACAATCTGCGCAGTTCGGTCTCTTTACTTAAACGTGGTCAATGTGCCGGGTTTTAGAGAAGTTATTTTGGATTTTTCGCCTTATGCGAATTATTATATTGCCCCAGCGTATAGGTAGGGCTTTTAAGGTGGTCCAATACTGACTGAAGATGGTTGAGACTTCGGACATGGAGTTTTTCCATAGGGTGCAGGTGACATCCTGAATTCCACCCGAAACTGACGTGATAACTGTCAGGTGGTTAGCCTGTGTACTATGCGGATCGCTTTTTCGCAACTTTTTGACTTGAAATTCTTGAAGCCATCTGGGAACGCACCCGGCCCGGCTACTAACATTTGTAAATGCTACCGGTGAGGCTTTAGAACAACCCATCTTATTTCAAACGGTCTTAAATATTTATTTTCAAATCTTTATGGTAGTCTTTTTTTTTTTTTTTTTTTCGCATTTTCCCCCTTAATTTGTCCACACAGCGATCAATGAATGCAAACTTGATACAGAATGTGGAGGTGAGTTATTTATACTTAATACATGAATTTTATTACAGACGTATTTTGCGTCATATTTCTCTAAGTTTCCCCTCCCCCTCCCTGTTTAAAAAAATAACTACTCGCAGCGCTATTCATGCACGCGCTTCTGACACCGGATATTTTTGCCTTTGTTTGAAATTCAAGTTTTGCTGTCATTTGTCTCCAAAAATCGTTAAAAAATGAAAGAAAAGAAGATGTTCAAATAGTTCTGCAGAATTGAGCTTATTGTTATTACTTAGGACCAATTAAATGCAAAATATTAGTTTCAAAAAATTTCTCATTTTTTTGCATACGGCTAATTCCTAATTAGTCCTTATTTGATGGTTATCATGACCCCAAAAACGCGTGCAGTAGCTTAATAGAGAAGTACCCTGAGACATAATGTGTGCTTCCCCGTAAGAAAATTAACAAGAAAAGCAGTTCCGTTGACATAAGCCGTGATTATCCAAAGCCCTTATCAAATGTATTAAGAAGAAAAATAGGCCTTATAAAAAATATCTGCGGAATCCGACAATAGATCGTCAATCAATTTACAAAAGCTATAAAAGCAAATTAAATCATTCTCTGCCGATAGCAAAACGTCTATACTACGCGAAAAACTTGAATAATGATTAATCATAAACCCATGAGTTTCTGGTTCAATCTAATACTCGTACTACTTGGAAAGTTATGAATGAAATTCTAAACAGAACGAAAAGACATTCCAAACGATGTTCACTGACATTTAAGAGGGTCTCAATGGGGTGGTGGCTTTTACGGTTATCGGCTAAAATTTTGGCTCTTTTACGACTAATTTTTTTCAGTTACGGTTAACAAAAAAGTTTAACTTCTTTTGTTTCAAAAGTTAAATATTAATTAACCTGTATTTTTTGTATCTTTAAATCAAAATAATGGACTTCGGATCATCTCGGAATGAAACAAGCTATTCTTTTGAAAAATTTTAACATTTGATAGATCATACTTTTTATAAAGTATTTCACTTCTAATATTATTTTACACATAGAAATGTCAATAGTCAATTTAGAAGTAATCTTTGTGAAAAAGCAAAAGCGGACACGCAAACGCCCAACTCAAGGCCGGGGCGCGACTTTCATTATAACAGAAATGGCCGTTTTCACACTAGAGACGGATTATTTGTGTGAAGACGGTCAATAACAAAATTCCCGTGTCCAGTGTTTTAATGATAGCGAAGGACTGTACGGAACGACTGACTACCGTTGCCTTGTCCGTAGGCCTCATTATTCCGCGCGGCTAATGCGTTTCGGGTCACGTGGTCCGAGCGGGTTCGCCACCGAAATGCCTTGACCGAGATTGCGTGGGAAGACGCCATACAGGGACTAGGCCTGGCAATGTCTACCGTAGCGTCAGAGAAAAACAGGGAAATGCTGTTTATCGGCAACGTATTTTACAAACAGTGACATCTCTGCGTGTTGTCTCACTAGTGTTTCGAGGGCTGACCTCCTGCAAATCACAAATATTAATCCCCAGCAAGAAGCCACACTTTCGCTATGGAAAAAATTAGTTCCCCGAGAGAGTGGGGGAAATGGAGCCTTTAGCTAGGTCTTGGTCAACACCTAAAACGCGCTTAGCCTAACGTGCGTACGGAGTCACACTGGCCGGGAAATAAAAAACGCAACCATAAGTGAGTTTAGTACCTCCCTTAAAAGTAGCAAATCTAGGGAACAGTTTCTTTTACGGTTAACTCTTTTTTACTCTATTTACGGCTAACGGTTAAAATTTTCAATTTTTACGGCTATCGACTAAATTTTTGGCCGTTTTACGCCTATCGGTTAACCCCGTTGAGACCCTCATTTAAAGCTGATGATCGTGAAATTACTGATCCCGTCGAAATTGCCAACAGGTTTTGTAGTTACTTTTAAAGCATTGGTCCTAATTTAGCAAGGGGTATACAGTCTACAGCTTCAGACCGTAGCTTTCTTAATGGTTCCTGTACACAGTCAATATATTCTTCAACCCTACAACCCAATACGTCATCGCAGTCATTAAGAAGTCCATTATACTCGTTTCCGAACCACTCACCCATATCATAAACTTGTCTATTCAGCATGGTATTGTTCCTGATTAAATGAAAATTGCTCGCGTGATACCTATTTTTTATATCTGATAATCAGTCGTCTTTCACCAACTACCGACCTATCTCGGCTTCCCAGCTTTTCAAAATTCCTAGGAAGAGTTATCTACAATCGTTTAATGCAATACCTGACGAATTTCAACATCCTCTGTAGTAGCCAATACGGCTTCAGGAAAAATCATTCCACTGCTCTCGCACTAATCTACTTGCATGATAAGATCTCCACGGCCTTTGACCGAGGTGAATTTGCCGTAGGCATTTTTCTTGACCTCGCAAAAGCCTTCGACACTATAGATCATGTTATTCTTTTTAATAAACTCGAACATTACCGTATTCGTGGCTTAACGCTGGACTAGATAAGAAGTTACTTTTCAACCAGAAAGCAATATGTTGAATACAATAGCCACCGTTCGTTTTGCCTGCGAGCAGACATCTCCTATTTCCTCTGTTGCACGCGGAAAAGGGACGTCTGCGTAACGCCGTCGCTAATCGTGTTCCAGCGTCCCGCTGGGTTCCCAAGATCTTGGGAACATGCTGTGATAGGCTGACACACAGTGCGCATTGTTTGACTTAACGCTGATTGGTTGTTATCGAATCTGGTCTGATAATGTATGCGGTGTTTATATAATCGGGGTTTTCCAGCCAAAACAAATCAAAACATGTGCCATTGTGTGCAGACCTTTCGAAATCTTGTGCGAGACCGCGGAAAATTTAACGTGTTTGAGGAAATTATTTCTTTACAATTTACTGTGCATGACACATCACATCATATTTGTAAACAGTGTCTGAGAAAACTACAAAAGCGGCGTGGACTTCGCACCAGGCAGACATTTCGGAGAAAGCCAACCAAGGAAACTAAAATCTTTATTTAGCCGTAATAAACAGAGGTCAAAGAAAATTTAAACACTTTACAACTGCATCTGAAATCAAATCCTACCTAGAACACCCACAGAAGCATAAACCACAGAAATGATTACTCAGTTTGCCTGTAACAAACCTGCTTCATGACCTCTAAATGTGAGACTTAATGCGGCAAAAACGAGATTTACTCAGTCAAAGTTTAAAATGCTACATGCACTGTGTGGAGCCAGTAACCTTCGCGCAAGAGAGAAAAGAAGAAAAACCTCTGTCCAAGCAGACTCTCAAGGTCACGTTTCGCATTACTTGTCGGTAGTACTTGGAGTACCCTTATCACGAGCTTATGATGTTATGTTTGGCGTGTCCACTCTTATTTGTAACCGGATATTATTTCACAATTTATGCGAAATAGAATACCCTGCTAGCGGGATGCTGGAACACGATTAGCGACGGCGTTACGCAGACGTCCCTTTTTCCGCGTTCAACAGAGGAAATAGGAGACGTCTGCACGCAGGCAACCGTTCGTTAAGAAATGAAATCTCATGAGGGGTTCATCGGGGGTCTATCCTCGGACCTCTATTTTTCTTACTTTACATTAACGACATTAACAATGCTTCTAATCCATTAAATTTAATACTGTTCGTGGACGATACCACGGTATTCATGACACATAGATCTAAACTATCTTTCAGATTTGTCTTGCTATTCTGCAAGAGCGCATTATTAGAATTATTAATAAATCACATTTCAACGCTCATACACATCCCGTCTTTAAGGGCCTTGGTATACTAAAATTTAATGATATCTATTTGCTTCAACTGGGCCAATTTATGTTTTCTTGCACAGGTTCATTCTTACCTCCAAGGTTTAACAACAATTTCTCCCAAAACAATCAATTCCACTCTTACAATGCAAGAAATTCCCAGGCCTACCGCCTACCGTATTCAGCGGTCGAACAAACACTAAGAAGTTCTCGCCCTTTTTTCAAGGACTTAAGTTTTTGAATTCACTTGACAACGAGGTCATCAACTCTCAACCCCCTTCCTGTTTTAAGAAAATACTGAAGATTAAATTATCAACTAAATATGAAAACAGTTCATAAATCTTTCCATCTTCGACTTTTCGCCATCTTGTTTTGAATTGATGTTAAACAGCTCTAGCCCGTGGTTCAAGCAGGCCAAACTTCTCATAAGCTCCCATAGTTTCTGTTAGGTCTTCTCGCCACGTCTTTTTTCTACTTAAATTCCTATATTATTTGTAATTGCTTCTATTGTGTGGCAAATAAAATAAAATAAAATAAAAAATGAATGTATAAAATAGAATACCTATGAAATATCAGCATTAACCCTATGCAGACCTGGCTTTTTTTTCTTCACGCGACTGGCTGGGAGGCCTCGGAGGTCCCTCTCCATAACTTCAAGTCAAGACCGCTCATTCTACAGTCACCAAGATTACACACGATAATGTACTCATCATCTCTAACTTCTGGGCTCAACTTGATTGATCGAATAACGTTATCTGACGTCATTATGACGTCATATTTTTCAGTATCCAGTATCCAAATTTTCTTTAAAGTAGACATAAAGCGAAAAATACTTATTACAATAAATGGTTAAGTCTCTAATAAAAACAAGGAAGTTGGCTAACACATAAATGATCTTTAACAATAGCAAAGATGTCATTATGACGTCATTTATTTGGAAGCATGCACTATCTTGGATCCGCCAGTTTTAGTTATTTAAATGTATTCCATTTTACTCGCATGTATCTAGGCACTTTAACAGAAAACTTAATCTGAGTATAAATTGATGCTTAGCAAGCAACAAAAAAAAAAAAAAACCTCGAAATATGAAATTCCGAAGGAAATTAACACTGTTGAAAATTTAACTCCGCATAGACACCAAAAAGCCTGGATTACGAGAACTTTGATAAAATAATGCTAACCTAAGTGTAATATAATAATTCGATCAGCATAAATAGAAATGCCACCTATTTTTAAGAGAGAATGAAAATTTTGAAAAACATGGTTGTCGAAACTCGCTTGCCATGGTAACATCAATTTTGACGTACACGTCACGACGATTTTAAAATGTTTCCAGGTGAATTGTAGGAAACGTCGCTTAGTTCGGTGGTCCTAGCTGGAACAGTTCAGAAGTAATGTTCAACATCGTTAGCGAGGGGGTCTCAAAAGCTTCGCCGGGGTTTAGTAGGGTTAAAACAACTAAAAACAATATAGTGTATGAACTGATCGAATTTCAAAAAGCAAATTAACCTGTCAGCAGTTTCAAAATACCCTCCAACAGTTTCATCAACAACAGAGGCTCCAGATACATCAACAGCATCTTCATCAGCAACTCAATCGGGTAGGTATTTTCCTTACGTTAGGATTAGCTCATAAGTAGAGAACTTGAATACACTGATACCGTTTTAGATACTTAATTTCAGAGCAGTAATGTTTTGTTTATGATACCTTATTATACGGCTAAATTCGTGAGCGGGCAAGATGAAGCAAATACTGTGTTCTGATGGGCAATCCACCATCAGGAAACTGCCTCTCGGGATTTACCGCGTTGGTCCCGCAAGCACAGGATGTCATTTTTTAAGCCATATATAGTAAATCCTCGATTGACCAAGCATGAGGTCAAAATGGCCGGCTGGATATAGTTGGCCTTTTTTCCTTTTCTTTTCTTTTTCTTCTTCCTTTTTAATTTTCAACTGGACTTTATAAACTTGCAAAGAAAATAAAAGGTTTTATTTCCAATATTTAGCCATCATGACCCCAACCATGTGATTCCTATTTACCGATAGCAATCTGGTACAGTCACTTACAAACTGGGCGAGGGAAAAACAATGAGGAAATAAGAAATATAATACTCAAACAACTGGAAACAATGTTGTGTCAGTATCCTTATCTTGCTCCTTAACAGATGCATCGTCATCAGAACCCGCAGTGATATCAAAAGCAGTTTCCACAGCTTCATTAGCTTCAACAAACCAACCTTCTCAACAAGGTAGGTAATTCTGTATCGTTGCTTCGACTTATACTGGCCTTGTCCGGATTTTTTTTTTTACCTTGAATTCGACTTGGTCCATGAACTCGCCCCCTCCCCCATAACTATCGTTTCTTACGATCTGGTTCTCTTTTTACAAAACCACTAAGTTATTTACTGATGGCAATTCTGGCACTAGCACGCAATGAGGAATTTAGAAAAATTTAAATACTCATTCACAAACAACTGGAAACAATCTAGTGTGCGTATTATTATTGTGCTCGTCAACAAATGTATCTTCATCATCTCCTCTGAGTTCCTTCGAAGAAGTACTTAAGCCCAGCTATATTCAAGCTTTGCTGTTTGACAAACCGATCACAATCATAGGCGATCTAAACTGCGATGGCCTCAAGAAAACAGGCCCTGAATTCAAAGCTCTGGAGAAATTCTATACGGATATGAACCTGAAACAACTCATTACAAAACCAACCAGGATAACAGCGACCACTCAATCCCTGCTCGACGTTATCCTAGTCTCCCCCAACAATTCAGTGCGTGATAGCGGTGTAATACATCGACCAATTAGTGACCATTCAATTGTCTCTGTCAAACTCAAGGTTAAGAAACCCAAGACTACCCCTCAGTACATTACCACTCGAAGTTACAAGAAGTATAATGCGGATCTCTTTGTCACGGATCTAGCTAATGAAGCGGATTCCCTGCTCACTATCTTCGATCAAACCGATGTAGACTCTAAGCTCAATATTTTAAATGACACTTTGCAGTCGGTCCTGAGCTTACACGCTCCCGTGAAACAAATTAAACTCCGGAGCAGACCGTGCCCTTTTGTGAACCAGGAAATCAAGGATCTCATGAGATCGCGAGATCTCCTCCTGAAGCAATTCATACAGTCTCGCCAAGACACCGAGTGGATAAATTTCAAACATTCCCGTGACTTGGTCAAGAAAAAGCTACAAGAAGCTGAAAGAGATCACACCTTTGAAGAGGTCACAGCTAATAAAAACAACTCTGGCTCACTCTGGAAAATTATTAATCACGCCATCCCCTCCAAAGATAAGCAGAGACCAGCCTTTACAAAGGATGTGACAGTCTTAACCAACGAATTCAACCAGTTTTTTGCTAAAGTCGGCTTAAATGCCGCTGACGCAGTACAGCGCTTGAGGGAAGAACATAACATCATAGTCCGAGATTTTTCATCCGAAACTGGCATAGATACTACCTCTATGGAATTATTCAATTTAAGGACAGTGTCACGTGAATTGTAACATCTCTCCCAATGAATAAATCTCCGGGTCCGGATAAGATCAGCGCTCGTGTACTAAAAGACTGTCTCCCTGTCATACTGGGCCCTCTTACTGACATCATCAATTGTTCTATCCTTACTAGCACATTTCCTGACAACTGGAAAGAGGCTGAGGTGATTCCGATTCTTAAAGACGGTGACCATGAAAAAGCTGCCAACAACAGACCGTTATCTCTGCTAGCCGTAGCTTTAAAGGTCCTTGAAAAGATTGTTTTGAATCAGTTCAGCGCCTATCTCACGAAAAACAACCGCCTTACCTCACATCAAAGCGGCAATAAAAAAGCTCATTCTACAGAGACCTTAAACATCCTGCTCACGGATAAGATACTCGAAGCAATGGATAAAAAGCAGATAACAGCACTAGTACTATTAGATCTATCCAAGGCCTTCGACAGTATAGACCATGCAAGGTTGCTCCACAAACTCTCCATCTTAGGAGCCTCACCCTCTACTGTCAAATGGTTCAAGAGCTACTTAACTGGTCGCAGGCAATACGTGAGAATTGGCTCCACCCACTCTGACACTCTACCTATAACTCACGGAGTTCCTCAAGGCGCAATCCTATCACCATTGTTGTTCTGCATTTATCTCAACGATTTACCCACGTCACCGACTTTTTGCAACCTAGAATCGTATGTGGATGACTCAAAGCTATTCATGTCATTTCCTCTCGTTGAGCTTGTTGCTGCCATTGAAAAGCTCGAACAAGACCTTCACAGTGTAGCTCAATGGTGCTGTGAGAACCATCTACTTATCAATCCCGATAAAACTAAACTCCTTTTCCTCGGTACTAGACAGATGTTAAGCAGGTTACTAGAAGACCCTGAAGTGGTATTCTTGGGTAAAACACTGAAGCCAACAGACTCTGCCAAGGACTTGGGAGTCTTTCTTGATCCCCATCTGACCTACGATCACCATATTTCATGTGTAGTGTCATCTTGTTTCGCAAAGCTTTGCCAAATAAATAGAGTCAAAAGGAGCTTCGACAAGGAAACACTAGAATTGTTAATAACATCATTAGTCTTTAGCAAGATGCTTTACTGCTCATCTGTATGGTCTAATACTACACTCCAGAATATAAACAGATTACAATCTATTCAGAATTTTGCCAGCAAGATCGTAACAAACTCTAGGAAGTTTGACCACGTAACACCTTTGCTTCGAGAGCTAAACTGGCTTCCTGTTAAAGAACAATTATTCTATAGAGACTCCGTTTTGACCTTTAAATGTCAGAACGATCTTGCGCCTCAAAACTTAACGAGCAAGTTTACCAAGCGCTCAAATATACATACTCGTAACACTCGTACACGGAACTCTTTGCAGATTCCGTTATACAAAACGGCTATAGGCCAGCGCACATTTTCCTACAGAGGGGCCTACATATGGAATAACTTGCATAATGAACTTAGGCAAAGTGCCTCATTGGCATCTTTCAAGCGCGCCCTGAAAGACACACTATTGAGGCAGACATTTCCTTCATAAGCGTTAGATTTTAATAGAATACCATCATAAATTGTTGATTTCGAGTTTTTATTGTTACTTTTGCTTTTATAAATTGGAAATAGTTTGTAAATAGTTCCTGAAAAACCTCACGAGGATGTTACTATTAAAGTTATTATTATTAAGTTATTATTAAGCCACAGTGATACCAGCAGCAGTTTCCAAAGCTTAACCAGATTCAACAAGCAAGTAATTTTCTGTGTCTTTACTGCGGCTTATATTGACGCCATAGTCTAGCTGATTATAGCTAAACCATTCTGAATCCATTTACAGGGTGTCCCATAAGTTCGTTCCTCTAAATTTTATAAGTCTATTTTTTCAGTACGATTGGACTTGGTAAGCAAATCATTTAAAATAAAAAAAAGTTGTGTCTTTCAATCTAATTCACTATTTTCATACTTGTTGTGCCATCTTTTGACTCCAATATTCGATTTGTGTACTTCCGCGCCAAAGGTGCGAGTACGGAAGTATATTTTCCAGCCAGATATTTTTTTGTATTTTATAACACGAATTGCTCGAACTCCTTCCTTGTTTGTTGTGAAGACCAAGAAAGATAAACCCCCTTAATGCAAAAACGTTCTGCTACGTGAGAGCAAAATCATGTATACTTCGATTTAATGGCTTATCTGTTGTAGAAACTGCTAAAAAAAAACTGGAAAAATCCGAATGTTGGGGTGTAAAATGATCACGGAGAAATGAAGGTCTTGAAGACAAGAAACGAATGGGAAGACCAAAAGTCCTGAATAAAGCAGCTAAAAAGGTTTTAAAGAAGGCTGGATACAAAATAGGAGACTCGACGAGGAAGCTTTCACATAGTTAGTAAGCCAAGTCCAAAAAGGGTCATAAAAAGCTGTTTAAAATTAGAAGTCCTTGAGACGGCAAAATAAAACATCTGCTTAGTCTGCCAAGTAACGGCCAGCTCGTCTCAAATTATATTCTTAAAGAATTACAAAAGCCTTGCTTTGGAAGGGGGCAGGGATGATGTCTTTTTTGGGTGAATGCCCAAATATCTATTTTTTTTCAGCTGCCTAAACTAAACAAATATTGTTTGGGCGTTGAACTGGCTCCTGCTCACTAGGTGATAAAAAAGCTCAAAATGGATCATCCTTGGGTCTGCACGCTGTATCCCACTTCATGTCGCAACGGTTACAGATTGTGATAAAAAAAAGGGCATGCCAGTTACTGAAATTCTGAATAAATGTACTCGATAGAGTAAAGTTTTGATCAAAAGTTGTAGTGCATGAAATTAGTAGCCTCCCCGCAGACGTCCTTTGGGGTTCGTTGGTCACGGATTCTTTTCTCCTCCACGAACGTCTGCTAAACACAGCCGACATTTACGTTCTAGTTTGTTTGAATAAGCCAATAAGCGATTAGTTATTGTGTCACGATCAGCCAAGAACGAGCTGTGATACAAGTGAAACGCGACGGCACCTAAGAATTATTTCTCGCTTTTTAAGAAGAATATTTATTCCATGCCTATGCATGGATGAGACCTCGAAGAAAGTTATAAGAAGAAATTTATTTTTCTTTTCTTTGCAGCTGTAATTTAGGAAAGGACCAAGTTCGTGTGTTTAGAAAAAGCGCAGTCGACATCGCAAGGCTCATCAAACGTGCTCTGGACGTTGATGTGTCTTTGTATTCTTCAAGTGAATTATTTATTTGCACAGCTATCTTCTACATGAGACGACTCAAACGTTTTGAAAAAATCACAGAAATGATGCAATAAAGCTGTAGTCAGCTGTATAGTTTTTTCGGAAGTTGTTGTAAGTATAAAATAATCTGCTTTTCTTTGAAAGACTTCAGACAACAGTCTCCCACAAAAGCGCGGTGCGGTTTTCAGCGCGATCGAAAACGATTACTATTAACTCTGTATATATTCGAAGTATTAAGAAAAGAGAACTTGTAAACGTGTATAGGGAAGATTTTCAAAGCGTTCTTCGAAAACAAAGGCTGTTTCCTTTTTTGCGAAATGTAATTCGACCAAGGTCATGGGTCGCGGACCAGGGACCACTACGCGAAATTTGGTTATATTTTTTCAAGAGTCGGTAAAACAAAAAAAATTCGAAGTCTACAATGTGCTTTCAACAGCAGAAAAAGGTTTATCTGAAAACGGCACTTCTTCTCGTCGCGTTTTATTTATTCACAAGCTAAGTAAACATGACCACGGTGCCGCCGAAGTCCAAACTTCAAGCTAGAACGACAAATAACCTACTTGTCAACAAACTTTAATCTCGCCCCTTCAAAGAAAGAAAGAATGCTTATAATCAATAACTCATTGAACCTTTCATTCTTCATTGTATTTTACTTCTCAACGAAATATTTAATCATGCTTGGAAAAGTCGCGGACCAAGGACCACATACTAACTGTACAAGTCACTCGCAAACATTTAGCTACCTTTCCTCCACCGATCGATCTTCAACCAAGCTTCTGGGCTTCCGTAAACAACAGAGAAAGCCCCTCTCCCGACAACCCTCATATTCTCTTCGCTAATATCACTGAGCGTTACAGCAGAAATACCAATATTTTCCAGCTTTGTAGCTTGATCTTTCATAAGATTTATCAGGGGCGAAACAACAACAACAATAATGTACAGTATACGTAGTTCCACGCACTGTGTCTCAAACAAGCGGCCAAGCTTGATAGATAAGGGATTTGCCAAATCCTACCGGCAAATTTATGAACTCATCGATCTTCGCTATAAAATTTGCAGGATAACTTCTCTCTGATACTTGTTTAACTCTGTATTAATTACAAATTTCTCGCACACCCGATCAAAAGCCTCACTGATCGTGCGAATTAACAAGCGGCTCGGGTTACGTTTTACAAAAATCCGTAAACGGCCTGTGATTGGTGAACGTAAATGTTGGCTGTGTTTAGCAGACGTCCGTGGCGGAGAAATGAATCCGTGACGAACGAACCCCAATGGACGTCTGCGGGGAGGCTATGAAATTAGAGGAGCGAACTTTTGGGACACCCTGTATACCGCCCGAAAGGTGTAACTATCTACATTTGAACCCCTTTAATACAGACACTGTTCTGAGGCCGCCACGGATAGTACGTATGAATGACAATAGCAGGAGAGGTTGAGTATCACGCTTACATTAAACGGCAAAGGCGAAATTGTACCACGTGATCAAGTTTCCTCTTCAATCGGCTGTTCATATTTCAACATATGAATCAGTAGTTTCACGCACTTGGTATCCATAAGAATTGTTTTAAGCTGCTTTTATCTGCTCATTTTCTTTTTGAGAAATTCTCGACTTGAATCTGATGTTTGTCGTTTGCCGTATAGGTAATGCTTTAACTCACTAATATCTCTTGCCTGTGCCGTCTTCTTTCCTCATTTTTTATTACAACTTCAATCTTTACCTATAATTTTTCTTTTATTTTAGTTTATTAAATGTGACCCTTTTCCATTAGAGCGGATTTCTAACTCCGCGCATAATGAAACAAATTAAAACTCGTTAATTATGTTTTTATTCCAGCGTCATTGTCAGAAATGACAACTGTCCTCAACCCATTGGAAGCATCATCGACTGCCTCAACAACTGCCTCATTACAGCCGATAAGTCCGGGTATGTTCTTAAAAGCACACTATATTCCATATTTCACAAATAGGTGCCGTTACACTAGCCTTCAATGTTTACAACAACGTTTACCGCGATACCGGGTTCCATATTCTTGTTCTTGGTCATACTGAATGTTGACTTATCTTATTTGCAAAAGTGTACAGAAGTTTTTCATAAGAGTTAAGAAAACAAGAACCTGTTTCAGATTTTAGGCTAAACAGGTACTCATATACAGGAGGCTTAACTGGCAAATTTTTTAGCCTAACAGGCTCTTAAAATCCAGGTTCTTAGTCGCGGGGTTTTCCTATTAATATTAAGTGACAAGCGAGGTGTGGTTTAAGAGTTACGAGCTACCTAAGAATTTAAGTACTACCTTGTTTTCTATTTTCCTATCATGTTTGATAGCGATTGTACTTTTGACCAGTCAAAAAAATATAATGGAAAAGGTCAATAATCTAACAGGGTCTAAATGGAGTTTACTAATTATTGCCATTTGCCAATAATTTTTAGTGTTTGGTGTTAAATTAGCCAATCTTTTAATGTTTACTGTTTGCGGAGAAAATACTGTTAAGTGATTGGAGAGTTTTCGTGAATCACCGAGAGTTTTTTAGCGTTGTCATTTCTTATCGGCTCTTTGAAAAAACGGTCATAAAATCACTCATGGATTTCGAGCCCATGCTCAAATTAAAGGGGCTGTAGTGTCTCTTTTTGACCCATGCGCAACAGTATCTTTCTTGTCTGGGGAGTACTGGGGACCAATCTCGTATCAAGCGCTCACGATCCTTTGGTCAGCGTCGAGGGCGAAGTCGAAACATCATGGTGGCATCGACAGGATTTCCCTCTCTCACTGAAAAATCGTATCTGTGCCTGTAACTGTCTCCACAACGGTCCAGGCCGCTACATCTCCGGACCATTTCATCGTAACTTAGAGTAACGCAACTGCCTCTACGGCTCTTAAGACCGCTGTTTCTCCAAGCAATTTTTTTTTTGATTCAACATCGCACAATTTAATAATACGGCTTTGCAAGCTTGGCTCTCCGGGCTAAGTACTCCTAAATAAGCATGCCAATAATTGATTCCACAGCTTTCCAAACCGCCGATTCTTCGGGTAATTTAATCAAAATTCAATATAACACAATTGTTTCTGGTTCTCCGCGCCACAAAATTATAAGTCAACATAACACGACTTTTTCTTCGGTTCTATTCACTGCAACCTCTCACGGAAACGCTTGCTACATGTACGCAAGCTATCGGCTCTCCATGCCGCTGCCTGTCTGGGCCACGTAATCGTTATAATAATTGAACAAAGCAAAAATTGATTCTACGGTTCTTCAGACCGCTGGTTCTCCGGGGCATTCAATCACAATTGGGCGTTCAATCACAATTCAACAAAGCACATTTGTTAATCACAAGTCAACGTCTGTACAAAATCGCGTGGAAAACGCTTGCTACGCACAACACAATTGATTTATGGAATCTCCAGGCCGGTGGATGCTAAGACCGTCGGCTATTCTGCGGACTCCTCAGGCCACTAAGTCAGAGTTTAACAAAACAGACTCGTCCACGCAGCAGCTCTCTCCTCTCTGAGTTGTATAAGCGCAAATCCACCCTTGAAAAAAAGTAACACGAGAAACAAATATGCAAATGAAAAACATTCATAAGATAGCACGCAAATAGGCAGATAAGAGACAATGGCACTTATAAGCCAGTTCCAACTGCGCAATGAGGTAATAAACAAACAAAAAAGGACGCGACAAAAGAAAAATAAGAGCAAAGTGATGGCACAAATAGCAAGCAAAACGCTAAATATCCCAAACTGACTAGACAAGCAAGAAACCTACTCGATGAAAACAAAACAGAAAGTGAACAAGCGGAGGAAACGAGCAAAACTAAGGTGGGTGCAAGACGTAACAAGAAATTTGATACATATTCCAACAATAAAAAGTGAACACGAAACTGACCTTGCTACCAGACCTCACCAAGAGCTTACCTCTGGAGTGACCGGTGAAAAATTGGCAGGCAAAAATGGCAAAACGTGGGGTCACATGTAAGTTCTCTAACAGCGGCTGGTGGCGGTTGAAACCACAGCGAAAATTTGGAAGTTACTTCCATTGAACTCCATTCAACCGGCCAAGAGGCGAGCAAAAACCGAGCAGTTCTAAGCAAGGGCCTCAATGCATCATGCCAGCAGCGCGCAGGTCCAACACGACGGAATTTAAAGTAGTTACTCCGCGTCAAGGGCCAATTATGTATGCAGTGAGAATAGTATTAACGTTATCTTCCAGAGGATAAAACAGGCAATCTATTTAAGAGATCTGTTGAGGGTAAAAACTTTACAAGCATTACTTGCAATTGTTTTATTAAATTTAAAAAAAGTTGCCAAGAATAATTTATCACCAAAAGTGACAAGAATTTTGTGGTGGTTAAATTAAGTCGAACATAACTGAAAAACATTTTCCTTTGATGGCAGCGCGAACTTCCTATCTTTTCTCTCCCTCTCTCTCTTTCTCCCCCTCTGCGCTGAGAGTCTAGGGAGGAAAGGTGGCTTTTAATTGGCTAGGATATGTTGCTTATTTTTAATACTGCATAATATCGTAACGTAAGGCACATGCTGGAGGAATGAGGGGGTTCAACCATCCCTCCTTGACATCCAGTGGGCGGTGGGGGTATGCGTTTGCATGAACATCCAAGGGTTAAAAAACACCAACTTATATACATTTATAAACAACTTAATTTTTTTTTAAATTTGTTTTCTTTGCTTTTCTTTACTTGATTCAGCGTTGTGTGAATCGCAGTGGACAAGTTTTGGGTCTTCGTGTTACAAACTGCACACATCACCCCAGAACTGGAACAATGCCAAACTGAACTGCCAAAATTTTGGTGGTAACTTATTGAAGATTGAAACCAAGGAGGAAAGTCGATTTATCACAAGAAAATATTTCAGTGATGAAGGTCGCTACTGGATTGGACTTTCTGACTCCTCTAATGAAAACGAATGGAGATGGACTGACGAAACCGGATTAACTGGTTTTGAAAACTGGAGAAGAGGCCAGCCGAATAATTTTTGGAACCAAGACTGCGTAGCAATGCTAAAGGGAACGTACCATTTGATACATTATAACGCAGAATGGAACGACGAAGACTGCTCTTTGACACTGGGATACATTTGCGAAAAAAAAGTGAACCTTTTACTGGTTTCTTGATATAACTTGGATCCACCAAGTTGGCGCGCTGAGAGTTATTGCAACCAGTTTTCAAATATATTTGTACCGAATCTGCTCCTTTTTTTTATCTTTATCACTCTAATGCCATAGGGTTAAGAAAAGTGGAAAAAGCTGGTAGATTTGGGTGTGAAGGCGAGTCTATATAGAAAAAGACTGACACCCTCCCAGCCACGTCAACTTTAGCGAGCGTTTGTATGAGACCTCTTTGCCCGAGCCAACAGCGCTCGCGCATGCTCTGATTGTCTTACCCTGACCGTGTTGACCCGGCTGAGGGAGCAAAAGTGTTTATATGGAGAAAAGTTAGCCCAGCTAGAAGGTGACCTTATTATCGAAAAAGGGTGGCACTGCTAGGTCACCATTCGAGCAGCGCCGCTCTTCCTAGCCTCCTACGCAGGCGTTTTTAGGGGAGCTCGTGTTTCGTCCCTCTCCAAAAACACCCGTTCAACCGGGAACAACATTCCTTTCCCAAGGTTAGCCAATCACATTGTACCTTCCAAATTCTGGAAGATTGAACATGACCGCAGGGAAACCCGACAATTACTCAATCTGCATGAAACACTGGAAAAGCTTGATGACCTCTAATAAATGTTAAACTCAGGGTGGCAAAAGTAAGATAAGTCAGAGTTTAGAATACTCCGTGCACTGTGTAACCTTAGCGCAGGAAAGAAAAGAAGGAAAAAAGTATCCCTAGGGTCATTGTTTTACACAACCACGAGCTTATGAGTCGTGTTTGGACTGTCATCTCTTTGTTTCAAAACTGTTGATTGGTAACTTACCACGCGAATAAAACAATGGGAAAGAAATGTTGTTCTCGGTTGAACAGGCGTTTTAGGAGAGGGAAGAAATACGAGCTCTCCTAAAAACGTCCGCATTGGAGGGTAGGCTCTTCCACGCAGGAAGCTAAAATGTTTTTGGCTATCACACTTGCTGTTTAGTGTATTAGTGTGTAGATTGATATTCAAGACATTAATCAGTAAGTTTTATTGTATAACTTTTTAAAAAAAGAAAAACCGACAATGCTCTACACCCTTTTTTAATATAAGAACGTCTAATTTTTTGGGGTTGAGGCTGAACGTTCTTCTTCTTATTATTACGATTATGATTATGATAATTATAATTATAGTTATAATGATTATAGTAATAATTATTATTACTATCATTATTATTATTATAATGATTTATGCATGTATTTATTATTAATTAATTTATTCATTTTGCGTTTTGTGCCTGACTGAAGCGTTCATAACATGTTCCCTACCGGAATCTGATTTATTTTTGCTCGTTGAATTCGGAATATATCCGGGAATTATCTGCTTGTGGAATCTGGATTCCTGGGATTTGAAATCTCGAATTTAGTTCAAGGAATCCAGAATCCCTCTCAAGGTTGGAGTCAGTTCCACTGACAATTTAGAATTCAGAATCCAAGAACTCTTGGATTACTGTGCAAGGTGAAGGGAAGGTCCCGTATTCCTCTTTTGCATGTATTTTTCAAGTTGTGCGTATAATATTTAAACAAATCAATGCGGAAGTAATACAAGGTCAACTAGCATGAAGATACTAAATCAGGCTTTGTTTTACCACATTTTGATTTAGTAGATGTTATTTTGGAACGGCTGTAAATAAGAACTGTTCAACGAATTGCACTGCGTTTTCAACTGTGAATTTTTTAGAAGTTTTAATAAGACTTAGCTCCACCAGAAATTCGAAATCTAGTTGTCCTTTGAACAATACTCTTGCAATAAGAAATCACATTGTTAATATTTAAAAATGTTCCCAAGTATTTTATTTAATTGACTTGTTAGACAACAGTTTTACATTTGCTTTACCTTTATTGATACTTACTCACAGGAGCAAAATAAAGACGTTCTTAACTGAATAACAGCCTGGGTATGTTTTCAGTATGTTATTAAAATTCTGGTTACTAATAGTTTTAGCTAACCCATCCTCATGAGAGCCAGGGGCAGCCAGGCCACGCCCACACTGATCTGGATAACCAGACGGGGCCACGGGATGCGGTTTCGGTGAGGAGATTCATTGGTTTCCTGTGGGCGAAAGGACGGTTCGCTTAAAAGGAAATGAAAAAGACGTGGTTGTGGTTTTGGATTTGCGTGGAGGTAACCTCAGTCGGTGAGGGAAAAGAGAGAGCCCATAGCGGGACGATATTTTACCAGACCAGTTTCAAACGGTCGCAGCCGTTCTGGCTTCTGATTGGTGTAAGAAAACTTTTGTGTTTTTATGCCCAAGCAGAGCGCATGAGGCCTGCGAGTCGTTTTTCTGTTAAAAAACACCCCGGAAGTGATCTGACTAATAGATGCTCAGGACACGTTTGTTTAATTTCAAGGGGTCCAAGAGGAGGGGTTTAGAAGATAACCCTCCTATAATATGGCCTCTAAAAATAAAAACAAAGTAATGTTCTCGTCTGTTCCAACATCTAAGCATAATTTGATTTACACAATGACATAATTTGAAGTCATTATGACGTCATTTTGTTGATTTTTTTGCCGTAATCCAAATTTCCCTTAAGGTAGCCTTAAACGAAAAAAAAAATAAAAAGAAAGCTTTGTGATAAAGTCAACAGGTTAACATGAATAATTTTAAACAATAGCAGTGATGTCACGATGACGTGGTTCATTACTGAAATAAGTAACTGGAACAATCCGCCATCTTAAATCCACCATTTTGAATTACTCAAATGTATTCCATTTTACTTAACTTAGGTATAAATCCCGGTAATCGTGATAGAAGATTTGATCTGCGTATTAAAAGATGCCTAGGGAGCGAAACGAATCTGCTAGTTATGAAGTTCCCAGAGAGTAAACACTAGTATAATAGTATAGTACAGTAGTTGATTAACACTTCTGGCACTTCTTCATTTATATTTGAAGCGCAGTTGCTCGCCATGTTTTTTACCCAGAGAGTAGAGGAGTCTTGTTTGCGTTATTTGTATTAGACAACAAACAATTTCGGAAAACCTTCCCACTTGTTTATCTCTTGTTCTTTAAGTTTCCGCTTCAAGCCAAAGGAGGAGACTATTCAGGTAATCTATCAAGCATTACTGAAGTTACTATAAGTTACGTTTCAGCAGCGGATGCGATTAAAAATTCCTTAGTTCACGTGTTTCTTCAAAAAAAATTCAAAGTTGAGTGATCTCTCCTTTGGGGCACCTCTATTCAAGTGACTTCTCCATCCCGGGGATACATAATTTGGTCCCGGAAAATGTACACAAGTTGTATTTGTTATCTCTATTGATGGGACTCCTCGATTCATGGGACCCTTGCCTTGGTCCCGAGGGTGTCCCTTGAATACAGGTTTCACTGTACATAGCTATTTTACGTCACGATTACTCTTAATGTTGAAAAGTGAGTCCAGAAGGCGACGTTTCAAGACAAAAATATTTAAAAGAACTCGGAAACTTAATAACAACACTTAAATCGGACGTGTGTAATTTCTTCTCCTCCGTAACGTCTGTAAGTAAAATCTGTAGATGTCAGTGAATCTACACCTGACAGTCAGGGTAGTCAATGCAAGACAGTGCATGAGTACTTCGTGTTCGTATAGAGTTCAGATTTTACAAAGCACGAAAAAAGCCGGTGGGAATTTCTGAAATCTCCAGGTATTTAAAAAGAAGAAAAAAACAAATGCGGTCATCTCAACAAGCACAAATGTCCTATTTTCCGCTTCTACAAAACTTAAATCCCTTTAGAATATTCTTTTTTATCACTTTACATTTTCCTTCCTGATGGTAAGTGCTATTGACAAAACGACAGTTGTTTTAAGTAAAACATTCATTGTGTAATCCAACTCACGGCACTAAAAGTTGTTGCTCTGTCCTCATAAATAAAGTCAAAACTGTCAATTGCAATAAACCTAATAAAGGTAAAACAGATAAGAGCCAAATTGCTGATTACGTATTGGATGAAAAAAAAGCAAAACAAAGCAAAACATATTGGGAAATAACCGGCCTATGTTCAAGATTCGGCATTTGGCAACAGTAAAGCCGATGATTCGTGGAAAGCAACGCTAATTCGTGTCACATTTTTCTTTTGCTTACTGAGTGTCGTGAGCTTATTCTGCTTAACTGGTCTCGGTGTGCGTTTCCCAGATACTCTCCCCTAAATCTCAGTTTGTCCCAACAAGAAAAACACACAAACCTTGGGTGCGGCTCGCTTCAAGCCAAGCGCTCGGTTTATTCACTAAAAGACTAAAAGATACATGCCATATCATAGAAACGTAATATACAATCCAAGTAACATACAACTCCAAAAAGCTAGATCACAAGCTAAATTAAATTGAAATGAGGTCGTGGAACAACAGCTGGGTGAAAAACCTCCCCGTGCGTCCACTTGCACCTAGGAGGAAAACCCCAGGCCAGGTGTACCCCATAAAAACGGTCCCCCGGGCAAGACCAACTAAATAGAAACTAGAATCAATTAAAAGTGGTACGAACGAGAAAACTAAATACCTAAAGCCTTAGAAACCGACAAACGAGAAGATAAAGAATCTTGGACATATCCGTCCTTAGCCGATTCACTAGCCCAGCGGCCATGACGCTTAAAAAGTCGATCTGGTACGCCAGCATTTGCGGCAGCAGTGGCCCCGCCACTCCTAAGGCCTTGCGTACCAATGTCAGAAATATCAGGAACAATATCTTTAAAGGCCTCTAGGACTAACTCTCTTAACCTTGAATAGCTTAAACCTTTAGATCTAGGCTTACAAACACATTTAGTTTTGGAAAGCTGACAAAACAAAGGGCTATCGCAGGAACGCCCATTTCCATCTTAATAACGGTTCATGATAGCAACCGGACAAGGTCCTTTCCTAGAAGAAGCTACAGCAATCCAAGCTCCATCTCTATACTGATCAGTTTTATTAGATTGAATAAATAACTTTAACATGTCATCTTCGATCTTAACATCGGATCGAAAAAGCTTAGCAAGCTAGCTCATGAAATCTGAGAAAGGCAGCAAAAGCTAGTAAGCAAACAACAACCGAACGAATATTATACAAAGAGGCTATTGAGTCCGCCTTGAAGACAACTAACTGCTCTAACTGAGAGACTGTGATAGGCTCCTTCTTGGTCATTTGATGGGCCAGCAAACGCTGCGCACCTGCAAGAGTACTCTTAACCAACAGATGATCAGAAGGAGACGGCTCGCCACCCAGCTGGTGAAACCAGGCAATGCTGTGAACTGCAGACTCCAGGGAGATGCTGTCTTCGCCTCAGTCATCAAATGACGCAAATAAATAGCAAAGTGAAACGGAGAAGCAGGAAAAAATGTCAAGCCATGTTCTCGTGCCTAAGACCTCCATCTGTTGTAAGAAGAAAAATATTTGGAGGAAGTACTGGGTGCTCTGCTAGCCAACGCAACATCCGGAAGAGAACTTGCAAGGGATTGTAAAGCACTGGATCCCTGGGGAACCGCAGCCCGAAGATCCGACCACATAGTAGAGCTGAAAACATCTGCAAAATAAAAGCAAAAAGAACACACACACACACACCCTATAAAGTCAAAAACAAATAAAAATGACCCGAACGCTGGAACAGCAAGATCGAGATGAAAGACAAAACCAGCACGCCCGAATATATACCCCTACTAATTACCCACATACCAGCGCACACGCCTAAACAAACATAAGATACCGATGAGAGCAGGGGCCCATAACCCTGATGAGAGCATATTTTCCTGCTAATTACCAAGTCAAACGCAGGAAAATACTAGTCCCGCTAGACTCTCGCTGCCTTCAGGGTATACCGCTATTATAATTACGGCTCTTGTAATTACCTATAACCAGAAACAGGTACCAGTTGCAATAATGCATTAAAAAGCCAGAAGATGTTGGACAAATGTTAACGGTTCTTTTTGAAACTTTTAGTTTCCAGTTTGAAATAATATAATTTTCAATAAGGGAAAAAAAAGGGGAGGGGGGAGGGGGGCGTGGAGGGGATCCTACTGCCATCTGCTTTACCTTAAAATAAGTGTCTTGCAAAGCCACGTGAATCTCGTAAGTTTGAGGGATAAAACCACCAAGGTTCCCTTGGGCGTGGAAAGGGACAGTCGGTGAATACGCTGTCTTGTAGAACCCCCCTGTCCACAAATAAATATATACGGGTGACTGACTATTCTAGTGTGGTGTAAAAAGTAGCTTAGTGGCCTGCGTGGAGTTTCTGGTCGTCTGAATTAGGAAATGGTTTTTTGAAAAAGACTGTGGTTCCTTAGTTTTTAGAAGAGGGCTTCAAATTTAGACAATTCATTCATTCAGTCATGTTTTTTCGCCATATCACACATCATTACAATAAAGAACGTTAAAGGAAGCAGATGGCGAGGACACCTGAAAGAAACCACGGGGATGGTAAGGAATCAGGTTTCCTCAAAACTAGAAGTAAGCTAGTCTTATATGACAATGTGGACCAGCAGAAGTAGTACAAGGTCTTACAAAAATAATAGTAACAAAAGAAGAAGGAAATATTAAGTTACTATTGAGAAGAAATTCTTTAAGCTTTTTTTTGAAAGATGCGTAGCAGTATTTATGGAATTTCCCATCACACGCTCCGGCACAATGTACTTTACTTGAATCAAGCGTGGAATGCCACCCGCGGCATGTTAATAATTTATGGACAGGTGTAAATTTGCAAAGTCATGAAACAAAAACAAGTAAACAAGAAAATATCACGCAAAATAAAATAAACTTTATAGAATCGACTCTTTTGGGATATTTTTAAATCTTAATCTTTGTTAACTTTGTTAACTTAAAAGTTAACAAAAAAGAAAAAAAATACAAGTAAATGATATTTACTATATGGGTAAGTCTGTTGTCCCCCTGTGGTCAATTTGCGGTCCATCCATAACTCGCTGTGCGGACCATCATTTCAAAAGAAAATGCGCTGCTCAATTTACAGCTCTAGATGTTTTTTTTTTCCTAAAAAGTGCTGACTCTTTTATTTTGCCTGGGGACAGCGACGCTGTCAAGGTAACTTAATCAACCAATTAAACCCAACTAACTTGAAACGATTTACAAACTGAAAAATTTTATAATTATTATTTTTTTAAACCCGGTAAGATTGCCTCGAGCCTTTTCCCCTTCAGGAAATTTACAGCAGTTAAATTCTGTAAGATATCCTTAAACTTTTTAGTTTACAAGCGATTACCGTTAGGTTCGTAATTGTTCGTAGTTAGTTGTGACTCGTAACTATTTTATCGCTTTCATCTCCACCACAGACCAGTCAATCATCTGTCAATAGCTGTAAAATTGACCAATCGGTGACTCCTTTTCTGGGGTGACGGAAAGTTTGTTTACTACAAAAGAGTCCGCAGTCCGTCTATTCTCATCTGCTCCTAATCTCTTACTGTATGTCGTGGTTTGCAATCGCGCTAGCTGAGATAAGAACTAGACGAATTTTAAGAGAAAAGGCGGACTACAAGCAGTCTAAGGTTAAAAGACTGGAACCGGCACATTTATTCACAGAACCAGTTGATAACAAGAAGCTTGACACACCTAAACAACTTGAAGTTAAAAGGTGAACATGACCCCTGCTACCAGGACGGTAATTTTTATCGAGATACTTGCCTTTGGAATTGGTACATTGTTGTATGTTGCAGGTACATGACATTTCTAGTGCTTTATCATTTGTAAAAATTAAAGTTCGCCTAAAATTAATATTTTGTTTAACTAGGAAACACTGCCTTTTGCATAAGCCAGTTTTAATCCTGATAGAACGGTACTTATGCAATCTTTTTTTTTTCGAAATTTGAGATGTAGATATCATGAAATTATTGGAAATCGTGAACGAGTAATAACTAACAGGGTTAGGTTTGATCAAAAGGCCTTTTATGAAAGGTTAGAGAAGATTAAGGCATGTCATTTCCCGAATCCTAAACTCAGCACTGCCCTTCTGAAAAGGGCTCCAGCGTAACCTGTTTCTCATCCGAACAAGCTGAAAAAGATGAAAAAAAAAATGTAAGGTGCAAGACTACACAATTCAACTTTTAAAATGATTCATATTTGGCAGGCATGAATGCGTCGAAAGAAAAAAATATTTAGCAACGAATTCATTTTAAAGACATACACAGTGGAAAAAATCCGGTTTACTTTTACTCTTGGATTCACATTTTGCAAAAACCGCAACGATAGCTGAGCCTCGACATTATTTAACTTGGCTGCTTGGAGTGGGGCTTTGGAGGTCCCCATCTATAAGTTTCCAACCGCTCATGATATGGCCACCAAACAAGCAAATAACAATTTATTCCTTTTTTGCAGCAAAGCAGAATAGTTAAAAATAATAATAAAAAAAAATTCAGCAAGTGGTGGATTTTCTAGCGAAATAAGCAATGATGTAAATTCAGCTCAAGATCTGTCATTGGATAGGTTTTATTTCACGTCCCCCCCCCAACCCCCCAAATCAGTACCTAAGAAAGATTGGATTACATTAAATAATTTGGTCTAAAATAAGTGTAAAGTAATAATCAGCAAATTTAAAAATCATTTTTAAGAAAAATGCAAATTTACAGAAAATGGCTGTCCACTTTGTGTGCCTCAAACGCCTCCCTGGTCTGAGTAAGGTTAAAATATTTTAGATTATACGTGTCATTGGCGAATTTGACCGAATAGAAGTCAAAGAAATTATTTGGAAGGATTCTGGAGGATAACACGCAACAGTCAGAATCTTTGCATGCCATTCGCCGCGTCGGCTATGTCGGCCACATATATTCTTTAAACGCA